TTTTTGGAGGAGATACATTAAATTGGTATGTACACAAGAGAGTCAAAGTGAACATCTGCAAATAAAACAAATGATGGGAGAGATAGGTGTTCTACATGATGATTCTATTCGAGTCAACTTGGATATCCGTGTATTACATGAGTATGAAATGTAGATGCAAAATCAAGTGTGTAAAACAAATACAGATTTTCAGTTTCTTTTTGTCTGTCTGGTGACTTCCTGCAAATAAGTAAAAGAAAGAAAGAGAATGGGGTTGATAACAAAGAAAAAAAAAAAACATGATAATAATAATAATAATGGGAAGTGGTCCCCTAATGCGTCCATAAAGGTTAATGTTTATTTGTTCGGGTAAGATATGGGTGGATTAACGAGAGAAACTAAAGATGCAATAGCACACGTATATAAATATTTTATGCAAACGAGTGATAAGGACACATCCAAAAAAAAAAAAAAACACAGAGATGCAAGATGGGACACTCGGTTTTCACACCCGCACCGGGCCATTATACCTGAATAAAAGAAAAGGGGGGGGGATAATCAGCTAGGGTATGCAAAGCGAGATAAAAGGGAGGGAAGGATACGAACACAGTAGGATCGATCCAGTTCCGTTGAGAAGGATGAGGAGGTTGGGTGGGCGGAGGATGGGTGGGAATGATGCGAGGGACAGGGGCGATGGGAGGAGCATACTGAGGACGAGAGGAAGATCTGGTGGCACAATCGCGAAGACAGCGGAAGATCATGAGGAGGAACATGAGGCCGAGGAGGCCGGCGACGATAGCGATGGGGATGCTGATGGCCAGGTTAGATTTGAACCAGGACTCGGCGGTGTCTTTGATGCTGCCGGCCTTGCAGTTCCCGCCCACACATCTCCCGCCGTAGCCGCACTCGCTCCCGTCGACAAAGTTCGTCGACAGCACAATGCAGTCCGCCCTTCCCGTCGGGTCCACACACGCAATCTTGCAGTCCATCGTCGCACCCACCGGACAGGCCTTCGTCAACGAGAGCATCGTCCCTTGGGCCTTGCATTGCTCGTCCCGACTCGTACACATCCCCGCGGCACACTTGAGACCCATCCCGCTCGGCCCACAGTCCTTCCCGTTGGCCGCAAACTTGTCATCCGGACAGTGCACATCCGATCCCGAACAACGCTCCTCCTGGTCGCACTCCGCATTCGCCGACGGCCTGCAGACCTGTTGCGAACTCGCAAATTGACAGTCCGACTGGCAACATGGTCCGTTCAATGGGTCGCACACCGCACCCGCTCGGAACTTGCACGTCCGTGGATCGCAGCAGCTCGAGTTCGTGTTCTGCCCCGGATCACAATCCTCGCCCGGTTCGACGATCCCGTTCCCACACTGTTGTAATGAAATCACTGCCCGTCGTCCCGGCGTCACTAGACATGAAGTGTTCACCGTGCTATGCAGTGTGGTACATATGTTTCCTATACTACATGGTGAGAAATTTGTTGTGTTTTTGGTGGCTACTGGTGACATGAGGTAATTTCCATTGCTGTTACAGCTACTTTGGCTCTGGGGGCAACATGCATCCGATAAGCCGCATCCAGAAGCACAATCATGAATAGCTCCAAAACTGTAGAAAGAAGGAGTCAGAATTTGATGGAACAACGACAGGATGAAAAGAAAAAGAATGAACTCAACTTGTGACCGATCTCATGGGCCATCACTTGCCATTCATTAGTGGTAGCAGCAGTTACACCGGTCCCACTGGTGACTTGACCGGTGTTACTAGTTTGCGATTCCACCTCGCAAAGTTGACCCAACCAGGCCACGCCGACCTCGCTACCAGAAGAACAATCGGACATGAGATGCCAAAGACCGGCGCCATCCCCACCGCCCTTTTTGCCCCTCCAGTCACTGAAGACACTCAGCCGTCGATTGAGATCTAGTCCTCCTGTCCCGGATCCCGGACAGGCTACATTCCATAGTGCATCCGCCTTGGGGCTCGCCGGACATTCGGGCGATTGGACGTTCAGCTCGACGACGCCGATCGAGACATTGAATGTGCGTTGGTAGATGGCGGAGACCGAGTTGACGTTATTCAAGATCGCCATCCGGGCCGCATCTTGAGTTTTGTACTTTGAGACATAGGTGCAATCAGCCGCTACCCCGATGAACACCACTCGTGATCCAATCGGACATCCCATCGTCGAGCCTATTGAATTGATGAAGTTTGAAGATGTGGTCGAGTTACCGAGCCAGGTGATATCATTAGTCATTGATTGCCGTCGATGGAGAGTTCTGGTCTTGGTGTTCGAAGGAGGAGGAACGAGCCTTGAGGATTGATTGAAGTTGATGTCTGCTGATGGACTTTGAGCGGGTCGATAGGAGGGCATTCCGAGTAGATGATCCAGGAAGCTTGTCATCGAGGCTAATGAGAATGAACTTGGTGGGTTAAATTGAATTTGTTGTGAGGAGGAGGGTGGTTGAGGAGCATGATAGACGGCATGTTGAGGATTGGAGTTGAAGGAGAGTTGGTCGTGTGCACAGCTCGAGGCGACTATCTCGTCGGGATTTGGTGCATGGTCAGAAGACTCTCTCCAGACTACGAGACCGCCGGTTGGATGAGCCTGCCAGGGGAGTGGATCAGAATCGGAGTGAGTGCGAATACGTTGGAAGGATTCTAATGGTTTGATGTGCCAGAGTTGGTTGTCGTGTTCGAATGAGCCTTCGAAGATGAGTTGATGGAGATCATCGTGAGATTCCATGTCGGAGGTCTGATGGATCAGGATCCTTGCCCATCCCCTGACCCGATGATCCTGATAGGCTGAGGCCCATTCGGGCGAGGGCCGGTCGACTGAGGCATGTTCTTCGTCCCACCAGGACTGGATGTGATCGGGGTCGATTGACCAGCCTGAGTAAGCCAAGACGTCTTGATTGAGTAGAGGGGATTGGGTGGAGGTGGTCTGGAGTGTGGTTGGATGGGTGGATGAGTAGATGATTTTGGCGTTGGGATGGATGAGATTTTGAGTGGGTCTGAGGGAGAGCGTGAACCATTGGAGTGGTTGATCTGGATCTGCGATGATTGATGGATTCTTGTTCTGCTGCTGCTGCTGATGGGAGCCAGTTGAGGTAGGGATGGCAAACTTGAGGAGG